TCTCTATGCACTCTTGTTTTACATGAGAACAGTGTCTCTCAAACTGTGGTACTCGTATTCCCAGAGAACCGTTGAAAAACATTAAAAAAAAACAAAAAACTCACACCTCAAAATTGGAGGGGAGTTTCGGTGAGTCAGTTACCAACGTATTCTACTCACCGGTATTTTTAATATAAATCACTTATTAAGTTTGTTTTTTAATTCAAAGGTCTGAGTGTCTATACGCGGCATAAAAAAGGTTGGAAACCACTGCTTTAGAGAGCAAACGAATTCTGTTTTTTGTTGTTGTTCTAGATAATTAATGAGTAAATCTGTTTTTATAGATAATTAAGAAGTGAGTTTGTTCTAGTAGATAATTAATGAGTGAATCTGGTTTTATAGATAATTAAGAAGTGAGTTTGTTCTAGTAGATAATTAATGAGTGAATCTGGTTTTATAGATAATTAAGAAGTGAGTTTGTTCTAGTAGATAATTAATGAGTGAATCTGGTTTTATAGATAATTAAGAAGTGAGTTTGTTCTAGTAGATAATTAATGAGTGAATCTGGTTTAATAGATAATTAAGAAGTGAGTTGTTTTTCTAGATAATTAAGTGAGTGTGTTTGTTTCTCTAGATAATTAAGAAATGAGTTTATTTTCTAGTTTTCATCTGAACAATACATCATTATTTATTCAGTATCGTATATAATAAGAACTTTTACAAAAATTGTAATTTAAAATTTTTCAGCGACATTTTGAACTTCCATTGTTATTTTAGAAGCTTCTAACAAAGTAAAGAAAGCATTTAATTGATATACTGCGCCATTTATCAAACATTTTATACACATAAGACTTTCATGTCCTATGAAAAGCATCCTTTAGTGAATGGCGTCAGAATTCCTAAAGGCTTGTTTGTTTTTAGTAAAGTACAAAGCTACACGTGCTGTTCCCACAACGGGTATCGAAACCTGGTTTTTAGCGGTATAAACATTCAGACTTACCACTGAGCTATTCCCGCAGGTCTTTTGACGGTTCTTAATATTCGTATCAAGCACGAATTAATTCGTAACATTAGCTGGTAGTGGTTTACTACCACTGTCAATTTCAACCTCATGATATTTTAAAGGATGCTGATTTATTGTCACTGTCAATTTCAACTTCGTGACATTAGCTAGAGCAGGTTTACTGTTAGTTTCAACATTGTAACATTAGCTTGTGCAGGTTTACTGTCATTTTCAACTTCGTGACATTAGCAGGAGCAGGTTTACTGTCAGTTTCAACATTGTGGCATTAGCTTGTGCAGGTTTACTACCAGTTTCAATATTGTGACATTAGCTAGTGCTGGTGTGCTGCCAATCTCCGCTTTAAAATTGAACAAGATACCTTGTATATTTACTGTCATTGTGCAAAAAGAGGTAAATAACTTTTCCAAAGACAGTTGTGATTACTGTTTAACAGAACGATAAAACTGGCCATTTCTTATCACAAGATGATGAATTGACCACTCACATCTTCGTAGAGTTCTCGGTTGGATCTCATAATTTCTAATTGAAGGTGATAATTACAATTGTAGGTTAATCTTACTTGAAAAACAACCATGTACATACCAAAAAGTACTTGCTTGGTTTGATGACAGACAGACATTTCTTAACATTCAGAAATGTATAATTTACAAAGAAATGATAATGGTGAAACAATGCCAACAATTGTGGATTTGTGTTATTCAGCACTGCAGTTTGTCCAGTAAGAGCAGTGAAGTGGAAATGCTACAAGATGATTGGTCAGTTTGTTGAAATACCTTTTATATTATTAGCTTTTCAAAGAACCTTAAGTACTTTTGAAGGGTTGGTTTGATCTTACTACACTGGGTGTGAGGTGGTGGCAGAGTAAATGGTTTCTTGTCAAACAGTACCTGCTTGGTGTTGAAATGCGCTACCAAGAATAAAATTTAGAATTTCCCAAGCCAATCCATTGTGTTACATTTTTTTAAATCAACTTTGGAGGAAGGGGGAGTAGCAAATAGGCAGAGAGTTTCTGAAATATATATATATGTCAACATCTATATAGTAGTTCTTAATTGTACTGTATACCTATGAACTCCTCCCACAACTTTAAGGTTGATCCGAAAAATAAATTTTGGCTCTTTACATTGGTCTGTGTAATATAGCGTTTCGTTATTGTTTTGTACAACAGAACAACTCCTGGCCATTGAAAAACAAATAGACCACTAATGTGCAACATATATGACTAGATGAAATGAAGTAAATAATATATATATGCATACATGCTACGAAAAAAAAAAAAACAAAGAGAGAGACCTTACGAATTTCGATTTCTGAGCCCAATTACTTCAAAAGTAAAGGCACAGCATATGGAGAAATGTCAAACCACTGCTTGTTGCCATGGCAACCAGCCAGGTGGCTAAAACGTGGGTGTTTGCGTCATCATTTTCGTGGTGTAGGAGGCTACACTCACTAACAAAACAAACCGCTTATAGTGCTACAAGGAGCTCCCATCATACTTCTAACTATTGTTGTTTTGAGCTGAATACGAACAGGACCTACACGATTTATGTGCCCATTCAACGCACGAGCAAGACATAAGAGCCCTCGAGCAGTCAGATTCGAACTCCGACTCTCTTATGTCATCACTGGGGGGGGGGGGGGCATAATGATACATGCCAGATTTGATGACAATCGGTTCAGCGAATCGCCAGTTATAACCAGACACACATGTGTGTGGTGTTGTCCAAGATCTTTATTTCAAGACCCATTTGATAAATAAATTATCGAATTTTTTATACTCTTAATTATCGAATCCTTCATCCTACTGTATACTGTATTGCTTTCTTGACTAATATATGTGTATAGCAGTTGATAAGAAGTGTATAATTACTATTCCAAATTTGCAATTCTATTTATATGTTAAAATCGGTCTCGATCCAAGCCGTAAGGGCTCAAAATTGGTCTCAGACTCTGATCGAATTGTCAGGTATCGACATACATACTTTGTAATACATGTAAAATACATGCGAAAATATAAAGCTAAAAAATAAAATAAGTGAGAATGTGAGATTGGCGATCGATGAACGATGTTAGTTACATATTCATCCTTCGTTTTATTATTGTTTCATATATTCATATGAGTCGTGTTTATTTCAGATTTAGTTAGTTTTTTGTCTTTTTTATTTTCTTAAAACATTTCTATCAAAAGAAAAATACATAAACACAAAATGTTTACATTTTAACATCGTATACATAAAATAATATATCAAGTTAGATTAACAGTAGGTTTACGAACTTACAACCCCGAAGTCCGGAATTCGATTCATGCGGTGAACAGGACGCAGGTAACCCATTGTATAGCTTTGCAGAAGATCTTCTTCAGGAACGAGTGTTTTTTGTTGTTGTTGTTGTTTTTTTTTTCTATAGCAGAGCCAAATCGGGCTATCTGCTGTGTCCACCGAGGGGAAACGAACCCCTGATTCTAGTGTTGTAAATCCGAAGACTTACCGCTGTCCCACCAGAGGACTCCAGGAACGAGAGCCACTTCTGGTACCGAATTATCGTAATATATGAGGCACAATTCAAATTTATCTTCAGTTTTTCAATGATTTGTCAGGAAAGGCTGTAAAATTTAGTTAAATAGGTCCTATGATTTACGATCGTTCATGCAAAAAAAAACAAGTTAAACCTTTTTTAAAACTTTGATAAGTTTTTAATATTCTGTTGTACAAAATGGTTAGTAGTGTATATTTACATTCCCCTTTCGTTGTTACTCATTGTTTCATACAGCAATTGTAGCGATTTTATAACCGAGTTTTGCAGCTCTCTGCCGCAGGCAAACTGTTTGTCGTCGAGTGAATAATGCGCATGCGCGGTTTTTCTTGGGGAAACATTCTAACTACGCATTCTTATGCAGCAGGTTCTCGATGAGAAAGCGAAACGGTCGTACATACAAAGAAGCAGAATAATAGTATAGATATGTTATTTAAAAGCACGCACGTATACAAACAAACTTTCAGTAATATTAGTGATAATTGAAATGTGTAACTTTAGAGGTAAAACACTTAGTCGTAAGAATACAAGATAAACTGGTTTTAAATTAAAAGTAGAAAGATAATTATGATAGATGGCGCTATTGATTTGTTCACAAAAGATTTGAAATATCACGTAGGTTGTCCCACTTTTTCCAACAACAAAAATATCGGGTTGTTTTATGATTCTACATTACTAAAATGGTGACTAATAATAATATATTTACAGGGTTAGAGAGGTAACTAATGAACAAATCTGGATAGCTAGATTTCGGCTGTCGACAAACTTAATTGTATTGATGCGTTATGAGTAACAAGAAATATTAACTTTGTTTATATTAGATTTTCATTAGGCGACTTCAATCTGTTACTGACGTTGAAAGATTCAAAGGATTCATTCACTTTTTGAGGTGATTGTTGAGGGCGACGAAGACCTGCAGTAATAAATCAAAATAATTTCTAAACTTCTCAATATGGAAAGAAGTTACGACGTTGTGTCTTTCAAAGAGAGTACTATTAATGTTTATTTGATTTTAAACAGTTTATTTACTGTTCTATAAATTGTGAGTAATGTTAATGTCAAACATTCTATGATTTTAGGATGCATTAAACGTTTGGCAACATCTCTCATTTAAAAACAAAAAACTTTACATTTTCTGCAGTAACCTGTCATGTTTTAAATTTTCCCTACTACTTCAGGACATGAATGTCTGTTTTTTTTGCATATTATACACAATAATTTTTGGATTTTGTTTTATGTGATCATACTTCTTATGAACTCGGACAATCTATTTTTATCCGATTTTTTTTTTTTTATTATTATTATTTGAGTGTGTTTTAATTACTGATTCATCTGTTATAAATTTGGGTTAAGTCAATCTGTGTTCTTCATCTATGACAGCAGAGGACGCTGCTGAGTGGAAAAGTCATACAAATGGCGTGTAATTTAAGATTTTCGGTGTTTGCGCTTTGCAGAGTGGTACACGGCAATAAGACTTTCTGTATAGTTAACTGTCATCGTTTTAAATTACTTTAACGAGTAGTTTGTAGAAATAATGAAACAGCTAAATTAGTTGTCCTTTTTTGTTTGATTAGTTATCATAATCAGAAATGAGTAAGCCTGTTCCTGTATGAAGAACTGAACGATATTTCGGAGGCAATGATTTCGTATTGTGAATTCATTGAAATTGAATAACTGTGTAGGCATAGAAAGAACAGATAATTGTTTCAAAGTTTCGCAAGAGTCATTCATAATAATAATGCGAATAGAAGTTAACTTTTATCAATTTGCACTTTAACTCGTTTAACTTTAAGTGTAAATGCAATATTTCACAAACAGGATGTGAAAATCGCAAGTAAAATGTTATTGTGTAACCATCAGTCAAGATGTGTGACCCACGTTTATGATGTTTCCTGGGGCAAAGAACCCGAGAATTATGTTGAACTTAAAGGCTGTGTATGTACACATATTTTAATTTGCCTGTTTTGAACATTGACAGAAGAGAGCTGGATTATGAGTGAAATATGTTAAAAGAATCAAGATTGTTAATGTTATTAGATTAGAGGATACTCATACTCATAAGAACATTGAAGAGTGAGTTTGATCTGAATACTCGTAGTGTGTTATAAGGGAAGCATAGGTAAAGGTTTTATCTTTTTCTTTTTTGAGGCATAGAGCTAACAACAAAACTGCTACAGCAATAGATAACGAAGAATTACGAGTTTTCAGCCAAAGCATATTTTGGACTTATTTCAGAATAAATAATGAAAATATTGTAAAACTCAGAAGAAGCACATTTGAGTGTCAAACTTGTGATATAAAAACAAGAATAATAATAATAATTATATAATTAAGTAATAGTGCTAAATGGTAGAACTAAGTGACAAATTATAGGAAAAACTATCATGTGTAAACATACAGTTTCACAATGAAGTACAAAAGGAAGTTAAACATAAAGTTGATACCGTTTAATAGTAAAAACTTGATTTGCTGTTAAAAGAAAATTTCTTATTCTTACAGTATAAAAGAGTAATATAGTTTTAAGTTAAGTATGATGGATGATTTGTTTTGGTGTTGATGTTTAAACTTATGAGAATAATATTTTTTAAGTATTTATACAAGAAAAATTAATATATGACAAAAATGTGTTGGGAAAGCATTCAGTGCCTAAAGCTAAAATTTAACTCATTATCAGTCCTGTAGGTTAAAGTTAAATAATTTATTTAAGATTAATAAATATGGAGAAAGAAAAGTTCACCAAGATTAAGAATTATTTTAATATTTGTAATTTTTTGTAGACCCTCTTTTAAGGTAGGTATTCTCCTTCATCTGTTTTACAGAAGTTTTGAAGTATGCTTAGTTGTAATGGGTATTATGTAAACATTATTGGGTACAACCTTTCTTGTTTGAACTTTGATTATTCTTTAGTTATGATGAAATGACTTCCTACTTAGTCATATGCTAATTTTCTTTATCAAGAAATTACAAGACTGGTGAAAATATGAATTACTTAAGTGTCTCATGTTGTGTATCATTAAGATGTGAAACCAAAAAATTATTTTTTCATTATTTCAGTTGTGTATGTTCTCACTGGTTTGTTACATTGTATTATTACAATTAAGCAAGAAAATTCCCTATTATGAATATTTCAATTAAATATGTTTATAGTTATAGCTTTTGTATAAGTTCAACCTTTTGTGACAACACAAAGCTTCACAAAGATTAGGATATTAAACTTGATGATTTTATTTTGTCTTTAAGAGATTAGATTTTATGTTCATCTGTTGTTGTTTTTTTGTATGGGAGCTACTGATTTTTTTTTTAAGAGAAGTTTATAAGCAATTATTACATTGTTTATAGAAATCTTATTTTCACTGTTTAAAACAAGTGTTTGTCTTTTGATACAGAGTGGAACAAAGAGCACCATTCTATCCAACACGAAGACAATGCTCTTAAAAGATGCCTGTGACTTTGAATAGAAAAGTGACAAGGTAATTTAAAATTGAAGCTAAACTTAGATAAGGTTCTGCTCTTCCATTTTTAAGCAATTTATATATATTTCTGTTTATATATATCAGTGTTTGCATGATTGTTGCATACGGTGAATGTATGAATAATGAAATAAATGCTCTAGGAAGGATCCAAGAAATAACGGGCAAATCACATTGACTTCTGCTCTTAACTATGTGCTAGAATTTATGTTTCTTTAAGAGGAAGCTGTCAAAAACTGTAATTTAATCAACACTACTGAGCATGGTTTTTAGTAAGTAGTTTTCACTTTTTTTCTTTTTTTAAAACTTCTGTTTTATTGAACAGTTTATTCTTAACATTTAGAAACAGTTTATAAAGTGACACTTGAAAGATTAAGTAGTAGTCATTATTTTTATTTGTG